CATCGACATCATCGAATTCGCTATTCGAACGGTTTTGAAAATTATTACGGTTTTTTGTCTTGAATATACGGGGTTTTTTTAGATAATCGAAAATAAATGCGAATTTTTTTGAATGTAAGAAAAAGCTACCTGACTTCTCTCCCTTATCTCTGTGAGATGTTGCTGATGGCGCATTTCGAGCTGTTCTCGTTGCTGTTGCTCGCCCTCGTTCACTTGCTCCATCTGCAACTGAAAAACCTCAAAAATTCTCTAAGCTGATAGCACAGATAACAGAAACTTACATTCCTTCCCTCCTTATCCTTGAAGATCGCGACCATCATACTGACGAGGTCCAGTCGTGGTGTTGAGCTAAGAAGTACATGACTTAATGGGCCGAAATGTCTTAACTCAACTGTTTTTCCCTCTATTTTTTCCTCCTACTATTTTTTCCTCTTTATATACAGTTCCCTTACTTAGGCACCCATCAAAATGGATGCTACAAATGGCTTACACTTATCTGAGGCACGGCTTTCCAAAAAAGGGCAAAAAAGGGCGGTCAATCATCCGTATCCGAGATTTCTTGGACTGCAGATTTAGATGCCTTAATATTATTTAGACACACCCATAAGTTATAATCACGCTAGCTGCTGTATTTTATCACTAGAAAGCTTACTTCAATAGATATTTCTCACGGCATCAATATCACCACAGATCAGTAGCCTCTAAAAAAGATCGTCACAAAACCAAAAAACCTATTGCTCACAGATCTTAACGTACAAATCCCCTGTGTCCGAGCAACATCCTTCAGCCCACTTCCGTTATTTTCTACACTTTTCCAAAAGCAGGAACGGGGACGGGGAGGGGCACCCGAGGATTTTTGCGAACATTCTTTGCATGCTTATTTTTTTGAGGGTCTTTATTGCAGTTCTGTTTCGGGGTTATTTTATGGACTCAAACAGTTAAACTCAAACAGTTTAAAACCAAAATCGTGCATGTTTGGGCATCAGGAAATAAGGCAGTGAATTTTGTTTTTGCGCATCTGGATCCGTGTACAACAGGATATCATATCTCTATATTTTTATCTTTATAGCTTCTTATTTATCGCTTTTTACACTCACATGAACACTCACACACACACACATACACACACACACACACACAC